ATAAGGTGAACAGTCTCCGCACCTCGTCTCTGTACAACTTGCCAAATTTACCTTTGCAAATTTTTGGTCATTGGTTTCATTGTATCAGTGGCGGATGCTGGTCTGTCAAGGAGGGGAAGCTCAATTTCGGCCTACATCATAAAATGTATCCGTTTATTTATACGTGAATTCTACTCTCCGTTCCTTTTCAAAAAAATGAAAAGGATGCCTTCACTATAAGATCAGTGATTGGCTCATTTTGCTGTCAATCAAAAAGAGATTCAGCCTCAGAGAGATCATCCAATCATCATGAAGAAAAGTTGAGCTTCTGCACGCCCACTGTCCATAGACTCCCAGAGACGCTGAGCGTCCAATGGGCGGGAGAAAAACAGGATTTATCTAATCACTCGTCTCATTTAAATGCATTGGGACAACCTAAACTGAACTCTCTAGACGCCCAGCGTCCGCGCGGTCGACACTCAGCGTCCACACAGTTTAAAGCACAGTGAAACTGTGGGAATGAATGAGAAGACAGTCGCGTCATAACCAGTCTTAAGACGCTGATTCAGAACAAAAGTTGAGCGTGTTGTCGCGCATATTTAGTCAATGACATGTACACACAATTGTGTATATACACACATATATTTGATCAGTTATTTTTTGGACATTTTAAGGGAAGCTGAGCTTCCTTTGCAGTCTTAGAGCAATCGCCTATGCATTGTACACATAGTTCAGTATTGTATAATAACTGTAAAAAAATAAAGCTGACTATCAAGTACCAAGTACAACTTAATTGTCAAATGTGCTGTATTGAAATTTCGTCCCTCTCACATTTTTTTGCTTCTTTTTTTTATTTTTTTTTTATTTTAAATAAATCCTACTTCACGGATTTCACTTATCACTGGTTCTTTTTGGAACGTAACCCCCGCGATAAACGAGGGATTACTGTACTCCCTGTATAAACCCTGCCAATGCCAGTGGTACCGCTACCTACTGTAGTAAATTTGCAATTACACTTTATTGGAAGTATGGAAAACAAACAAACAAACAAATTAAAAAAAATGTTCCCTGGGTCACATGTCCAAAGCATCGCAGCCCCCCTGGCATCGCAGCCCCTGCCCCACTATTGCACTGCTGTATCTGCATACGTAATGTGTGTGTGTGTGTGTGTGTGTGTGTGTGTGTGTGTGTGTGTGTGTATTTATAAT